TAACCCAATCTTCATCAACATAAGCATGCAACCTTGTGTCAGAATTAGCTTTAAATAAAACACCTTGACCAGCAGTATGCTTGAGGTATCGAAGTAACAATGTTGCTGCATTCATGTGGTCAGTGTGAGGATTGGACACAAATTGAATCAACTTGTGGACAATATAACAAATATCTGGGCGAGAGATTGTTAAATACAAGAGTCTCCCAATTAGCCTTCTATATATGCTTGGGTCTGGGAGCTTTGTTCCGGATTCTGCATGAAGTTTAAGATTCGCCACCATTGGAATGGCTGAAGGTTTGCAAGCAAGCATACCAGAATCGTCAAGTATGGCTAGTGTGTAGTGTCGCTGACATAGATAAATGCCTTCCTTCGATTTTGACAACTCCAATCCTAAAAAAAATTTGAGATCTCCTAAGTCTTTTAGCTTGAAGTGTTGCTGTAGCATTGTTTTGGCCATGTGGATCATATTCGGGCTTGGACTAGCTAGCACAATATCATCTACATACACTAGAACAACTATGAATGTAGAGTTTGAACCTTTTGTGAATAGAGTGTAGTCATACTTGGACTGCTTGTAGCCTTGTGAGATTAGAGTGTGCTGAAAGTATTAAACCAACTTCTAGACGCTTGCTTTAAGCCATAAATTGACCTGTTGAGTTTGCAAACCAATGAAGCTTTGGTGTAGTCTATGCATGTGTTTGTTGAAACATATCCTTGAGGAATTTTCATGAATATCTCTTCTTCAAGGTCACCATTGAGAAAAGCATTGTTGACATCTAGTTGAGCTAGGTGCCAGTTTTTGGATGCTGCTAAAGCTAGTAAAACTCTAAGAGTTGTGATCTTTGCTACAGGAGAGAATGTTTCTTGAAAATCCAGGCCATATTGTTGAGTGAATCCCCTTGCTACTAGCCGATCTTTGTGTTTGGCAACTGTTCCATCTGAATTAAGCTTGAGTTTGAAAAGCCATTTACAGCTAATTGGTTTCTTGTCAGGAGGCAGAGGCTGGATTGTCCAGGTGTTGTTGACTTCCATTACAGCTAGTTCATCTTCAATTGCTTGACGCCAATGTTTATGTTTGATAGCTTGGTTGTAGGTTTGGGGTTCAAATTTTTTTGATATTTGACATATAAAATGTTTGTAAGATTTTGAAAGTCTGGAGTAGTCTAGATATCTCTGTATAGGATACATGATTGTAGATTCCGTGCTCACATTGTAGCAATGGTAGTCTGACAGATAGGAAGGTGATTTTGTGTTTCGTGTTGATCTCCTTGGAGGATCATTAGATGAATCAGGCTGGTTGACGACTGGCTGTGATGTGGATGAATGAGATGTTGAAGTAGGAAGATCTGCATCAGCATCAATTTCAGGTTCATTGTTGGGATTGACCAAGTTGGGTGTAATATAAAAAATGACAGCATCCTCATTGATTGTGCAGTTGGCATCTTTTTGAAAGGAAAGATGTGCTCATAGAAATGGACATCTCTGGAGATGAAAACCTGATTGTTGCTAAGGTCAAGGAGTTTGTATCCCTTGTAGCCTTGAGGGTAACCAATGAAGACAGCAGCAATTGTTCTTGGACTGAACTTATGCCTGCTGGAAATAAGAGTAGATGCATAACATAATGCGCCAAATGTCCTGAAAGAAGAATAGTTAGGAAGTTTGTTGTATAAAAGTTCATATGGTGATTTGCAATTTAGAATAGGACTAGGAGTTCTATTCATAAGAAACATTGCAGTTTTAACGCAATCACCCCAAACTTTGAGAGGAACATTTGACTGAAACATTTATATATATATCTTAAAAGTTATTGCATTTTTTCTTTTTGTGATAAAATGTTTAAGGGTCATTTATTGCCCTTTTAAATATTTTTTCTAATGCATGACTAGTCCGATGCACACCTTTCATTTGATTTCAAATTCATTTCACCTTCATTTATAGTTGGCACAGCAATTCAAATGCCAGGACGTACTTGAATTCAAATCTAGGCACCAATGGTGAAGCTAAATCGACCTAGTTAGGTTTCTTAACCATGGTTAGCTTTAGTTTCCCTGGCAAGTTTCCTATGGCCGATATAAACCTCTATTTATCCTTAGGTTGGTCACTTTTCAGATATATGATATTTTAGTGCATTGTTTTATCTCAAATTTATCTCTTAGAAGTCACTAGGTTCCTTCCTCTCGCCCATTTGTGAGAGTTTTAAGAGTGACCTTGGTTTATCATCTTTCATTGGAGTGTGGCTCCTTGGGTACTCTTTGATCTTCATCTATTGCTTTGGTCTAAGTCCTTGAAGGAGTCTTGAAGGAGATGGAGCACAATCTTAGCTTGAAGGAGACTCCAATTGGCTTCACTTGTTCAGTCAACACTTCTACACAATACACATTCTATGTAAGTTATTTTAGGGGTTTTACATCAGAAAAACTTCCGACGTTGAAGCAGGAGACGTAAATTTACGTCGGGACACGAAAACCAACGTAAATTTACGTCGGACATGCCAAGGTCTGACGTAAAAAAGTCATAAAAAAAAAAGAAAAAAGAAAAACGAGAGCAAGCAGAACGGCCCGTTCTGCTTAGAGAACGGCCCGTTGTCCAAGCAGAACGACCCGTTTTCCATGGAGAACGGCCCGTTCTGCATGGAGAACGGGCCGTTCTCCAAGCAGCACGGGCCGTTCTCCAAGTGCTTGATAGACACAGGAGTGGGTTCTCCAAACCCGGACTTAGTCACTTCCTTCTCCAGCTTCAAAAACTCGAAATGCAACGCAAACATTACCTTCCTCATAGAACCTCCCAAAAAAGCCTATGACCAACGCAACCGTCCGAAGAAGAAAAACGTCATCACGCGAAGAAAAATAGAAGAAGGTGCAGATGAGGAGGACAATCACGATTTGAGGAGGAGGTTGTACAACGCGGGAGAAGGAAAACAGAAGAAAAATTGAAGAAAAACAGAAGAAGGTGCACAACGCGGGAGAAGGAAACCATGAAGTTTTTTTGAAATCTAGCTAGTGCATGTACACCTTCTTTTAAGCAGGTCTGCGGGTTATTTACGTCGGCCCTAATAGGGTCCGACGTAAATTTTAACATCCACCGTGTTTTTATTACGTCGGGTGTTTGTATGTCCGACGTAAAATAAGTGACGTAGTATCCTAATTTTCCACTAGTGCAAGTGGAGGATTCTTCCATCAAGCTTGATCTGAAAAAATTTCTTCCCATAAAATATCTATGTTTTTTTTATCATTAAAACTTAATTAGTTGTATCATGTTTTGATAGTAAAATGAAACAACATTGTTTGTTTACCCAACTTTAAATTTGTGTTATTACATTGAGCCTAGAGAGGTTTGAATGTAAAAAGAAAAAACTTGGTTGTTAAAACTTTTGTGTTAAAAAAATACTTGGGTAGTTCTTAAAAAAGCAAGTCAAAGAACACTAAGGTTGAGCTAGAAGTGGCTTATGAAAGAAACTTGTATCTTTGTAAAAGATAATAAAACTTGATCATATTGATCAAGAATTGGACGCAGTCTCGGTGGTTGAGACAAATCAATATAAAAAATTATATTTTTTTTTACTTTACTCTTCATCTACTTTGTTATGGTCTTACTGCTATTTCACTATTTTGAAAAAGTATGGAGTTTTTGATAGACATTATTTACCCCTCTTCTAGTGTTTCTCGTTTCTCCATAATGATATAGTTGTAAATCCGTTAATTAAGCTTCCTTGTAAATTTGCTTCGTCTTCCTTCATGTTACTTCTTTATAAGAATATATGTCTATTGGTGTATTTAATACATTTTATCAAATAATCATTTGTTTTATCTAATTAAAGATGTTGCTTATCAACTTAAGGATACAAAAGATAACAAATTGTAGCATGTGTTAGTCTAAAACTACTCTCAGCTGACTTCGCATATTTTAAGGGTTATACTTGTCCTTTTTATAGCGAAAAGCATATCTCATACTTTTAAAATTGATCTAAATCCTTAAGAAACTTTTATTTATTAGATCTATTAAGATATATATTAAAAATCGACAACAAAAATATCAAACATAATAAATAATGTAATAAATACATTTATTTATGATAAACAATACATTCAATATAATAACTAAACATTAATAAGACTTTATCAAATACTATTTTAATGTATTCTCATACAATCATCTCATGATATTGTTATTCAAACTTAGAATTTAAGAAGTCTTAAATCACCCTTTAATCTAACGTATAATTAACAGTATATAACTAACCAATTTGTATTTTAAACTTCAAATTAATTTTTTCATTTAGAAATTCTAACATGAAGTAGTATGAAAAGTGGTACATTAATGAAGCACCATTTTTAACCGTTAGATTTAATAATAAAATAATTAACGATTCAGATTTGTTACATGTAACTTGTTTATAGAAATTTTTGTATTTTGGAGATTAGTTCTTGTTTAGGGTTACTATTTTGGCTGCCGACAGGTGGTGAGGACGAGGAAGACGACGGCGAGGACGTCGAGGGCGAGTCAGGGGCGGGGAGGGCTAGATTTGGAGGTGGCGAGGTTTAGGGTTTAGGAGTGGCCTTGAGAGAGTTGAACGCTGCTGACAACGGGGAGGGGGAGGTAGCGGCAGAGGAGGGACATGAGGCCGGTGGTGTCGAGGAGGACGAGCCTGCGCCTCCGCTGCCATCGCGCAAAGAAAGAGGTCGCGCCTCCGCTGCCATCGCGCAAAGAAAGAGGCCGCGCCTCCGCTCGCAACTAAGGGATATGAAAAGTTGTTTCTGATTAATTTTACAATAAATTATTAATCAGAAACAATACATTTTATTATTATTATTATGAATTTTTTTTCCTTAAAATATATTCCTGAAAGAGTAAAATATTACTCTTCTGAAAGTGTTTTTTCGAAAAGTACTTAAAAAAACATAATTCTAGAAACAACTTTTCATAAGAGTAAATTTGTTGATATTCAATAAATTCTTTTGAAAAGTATTTTTCTTCACGAAATGTATGCATCGGAAAAGTCACAGAAGTTGCTATGTTTGTTTTATTCATTTTTCTCGAGTTTCTATTCTTATAATTCTAACAACACAAGTGACAAGTCAAATTCAAACACGACAAATAAAATTAATTAAAGCCCATTTCATGAATTTATGCGTATTTAGTCGCTATTTGGTGGAGGGAATCGAACAGTTCTCGTGGCTTGCAAAGCATAGCCATATGATCTGCGCCTTTGATTTCTACAACGTCATTGAAGCCCATATTTTGAACCATCCATAGCTGAAAATTCAATGGAATTCCAATATCCTCACTGCAAACAATAAAAACACGTGGAACTGACCCATATCCTTCCTTGGAAAACTTCTTTTGCTTTGACAAGTCTTCCATGAAAAGTGATGATGGCCTTGCCAAACTCTTGGCCAATTCAAAGTCCTGCAAAATCCAATCATTATTTATTTTTCTGTCAGGCTCCAAACTTCGAAGACTTTTCAGCACTGTACTTTAGGAAAATGTTATTTGTACCATAAATTATACAACAAATTTTAAAAATAAAACAAAGAAAGAAAAATACAAGATGTTATAATAATGTGATAAATAAAATAAAACATATCATTGTACTACGTATAAATTGCTGCATGTATGAACCATATATACATATATAATTACCTCAACAGAAGAGAGCTGGTAGAGCTTGTTGGACAAGAACTTGGGGCCAAAGAACATTAATGTTTTGTTTCCGGTTGGAGAAAATTCAGTGTCCAACCATTCAGCCGACGGGGTCCTTTCATTGTACTGTTGAAGCAAAAATTAATAATGGAGAATGGAGATTACTCTAGTTTTCTTACTGCTTTTCTTTTGTTGATCAATGAATATCAACCCACTAAAGTGTACATATTAGTGTCTATTTTTGAATCACATCATCATATAATAGTTAAAATTTAAAGATTTTTCATATCATTAATCACTTATCTTTAAAGAAGTTTCAAAATTGACGGCCGTGCATATATTAATGTAATTCAAACAAAACCAAAGAATTTTAAATGTAAAAGAAAAATTGTAAAAAATTAAAAATTATTAAATTAATTGTTATGTAAAAATTGGCTATCGCATATATAAAATAATAATATAATAAATGCTTAAATATATTTTTTTTATAAAATAAATAAATTTTGATTTTGATGTTTTAGCTTTTTCTTTTTCATCTTTAATAATTTGAAATGATTGTTTTTGTTCCTACTTATTTCAATGCTTATTTAAAGGTCAAATAATCATTTTACGTGTTATATTTACAATTATATTGTTTTAGTTAATACTCTGTAAGTATGACACTTTAATTTTTTATTTATATATTCTTAAAATAAAAATTTATTTATTTATCTTCAAATAAATATTAAAAAGTAAAATTACACACTTAAAATTATAAGTTTTTTTAAGATCTTTAAAAAGTAAAACTCAAATTTTAATAAAAATAAAGTTGCACTTAAAAAATATGATTTTATTAGACTTAATTTTTAAAGTCTTTCATACATATATACATGGGTGTGTGGGAGGAGATATAAAATTATTTCAAGAATATCTTTTGGTAAAGTTTCTTCACTTAATAAAATATATTGTATTTTGAATATTAACGATTCAATCGTTAAATTAAAAATTCTTGATACATAAATCAAATTTTAAAGATTTTGATAATTATTTGATATTTTATTTCGTTAATTCAAATTGATCAATAATCATAAAAATATTTTATACATTAATTTCAATCGATAAGACGAAGTATCATATAATTTTTAAATTCTTCAAACTTGATTTATATATATATATATATATATATAATCAAATGATATCGATATAACTTTTATTAACTATTACAACATTCAATAATTTAATATAAAAAGAATTTTGACAATACAATTATTGAATTGAATGTTTCTTTTACTTAGATCATATATATAAAATTTTATAATATACAAAAATATAAATAATTTAATTATTTTCTTAATGTTGTTTAATTTTAATAAAATCAAATTCAAGATAATATAAAGTTGTAATCCAACAATTGGATTGACAAAAATCCTTTTTTATATAAAGTTTTTAAACGATATAATAGTTAGTAAAATTTATATGGAGAAGAATCAAATGATATCAGTATAACTTTTACCAACTATTACAATATTCAATAACTCTATATAAAAAGAATTTTATTATTCAAACGGTTGGATTTAAAGTTTCTTTTACTTTGATCATATATACAAAATTTTATATTAATTTAAAATTGTTTGATAACATACATATTGTATTCTTACACACACATATTGTATTCTTCTGGTTGATTAATTTCAATAAAATTTGACACACATATTAAAGGTAATATAAAGTTGTAATTCAATGTAGATTAAAAAAATTGATTTATTTTATATAAATTTATTGAATAGATTAATAGTTGGTAAAAATTATATCATTAATTAACTTTATACATATATATATATATAATTATCAATTCATCTATTGAATTTAAAGGTTTTTTTTTACCTAAATCATATATTAAAATTTTTATGTTAATCTAAAATTGTTTAATACCACATTTATATATATATATATATATATATATATATATATAAATCAACGTAGTATATACATATCAAAATATATTAAAATATGAATAATTTAATTGTATTTTTAGTGTTGTTCAATTTTAATAAAATTTGACACACATTCGAGATAATATAAAGTTATAATTCAATGGTAGAATAAAAAAAATTCAATTTTTATATATATTATTGAACGATTTAACTTTTACTAACTATTACACCATTCAATAATCTTATATAAAAAGAATTTTTCTAATTCAACTGTTGAATTGAAAATTTCTTTTACTTAAATTATATGAAAAAAGATTATATTAATCTAAAATTGCTTGATATCATATATACACACACACACACACATATATATATATATATATATATATATATATTAACGTAATATTAATATTTTAAAATATACTAAATATGAGTAATTTTATTGTCTTTTTATTATTGTTCAATTTTAATAAAATTTGACAAATATATTAAAGATAATAAAAATTGTAATTCAATAGTTAGATTAATAAAATTTACTTTTTATAGTCATTGTATGATATAATAATTAATAAAAGTTATATCAATGTCATTTGATCTCTTCTTATATGGAAAGAGATCAAATGACATTGATATAAGTTTTATTAACTATTATGCTGCTCAATAATTTTATATAAAAAGAATTTCGTCTATCAATTATTGAAAGTTTCTTTTTTTTGAATTATATATACAAAATTTTATATTAATATAAATTTATTTAATACCATATATATATAATGTAATTTATATTTAAAAATAAAAACTAAATTTCGTTAAAAATGAAATTTGACAATACATGAATCATGATTACTTTTTCCGCTTTCTACTTGCTTTATATACTGATAAAAAAAAATAGTAAAGGACATCAAATTTATGTTTTGGTCAAGATTTTATTACAAAAATAAGTTTTCAAATAATTATTATCATAAATTTTATATTAGATATTAAAAATATATTTATATTATATTAATAAATTAAACTCAATTTTATAAAATTTATAGCATATATATTTTCATTCTTTTTTAAGTTATTAAAAAATAAGTGTGTAAGTCAGACTATACTTTTAAATAGATCAAATCAAACTTTATATATATATATATAAATCTAGTATAGACAAATAGACTAAAACTATTTGTTTTTATTTATTTATTTAACGAAGGTCAGCAAGTCTTAACGTTTTTTTTTTATTTATTTAACGAAGGTCAGCAAGTCTTAACAAAGCTTAGTTTAACCTCGTCTGTATTTACTCCTAGTTATAATATAAAAATAAAAAACTTATAAGAGTATAACTATAATGTATATTTATATTTTTAAAAGTTATAACTTTAAATATAACTTTATATTTATATTTATTATGAAAATTTAATAATAAATAAGAAAAATAAAATTTATAAATTATGATTTTATTTTATAAACTCAATAAAAATAACTAACATAATTATTCATATTGATTAACATAATTTGATTAAAAATATTTTATATTAAATATCAATGACAATAACAGCATTATTGAAGTGAAAATCTAATTCTAATAAAAAAAATAATATGAACCACACTTTTAAAATTGTATTTAAGTTTTATCTTTAATAAATTATTCTTACCCAATGAGATATGAAAAAATATGAGAAAAATAAAAATATCAATTATAGTGAAAATGATATAAAAAGAGTATTTTTCTTTTTAAGGTATATAGTGTAGGGATTTCAAATAAATCTAGACTCATGGATAATATTCAAACCCATCTCAATTTTGACAGAAATACTCAGTTGATCGGATAGGGGTATTGGTAAAACTTGAAATATTAAATTGGGGACGAGGACGTGTATATACTTACCTGTCCCGACCCTGTCCCCATTTCCATCTCCGTCCCCATTCCTTTCCCATCTCCGGTTTCACTTGTAAGATGAATTTTATTTTTGATTTGAGAAATTTTAATTTATTTGTTATTTCAAATCAACATCGTGGTTGTTTATTTGTGACATTACTCAATATTTATAGTTGTTTAATTTATAAGATTTTAATTATGTGTAATTATTTATTATGATGTGAAATATTTATGATTATTTAATTATTAAGAAATTTCTTAATTAAAATATGAGATAAATAAATAATCTAATTACTATTATAATATAAAAAAAATAAACTAAAAATATTATATATTTTTTTATAAAAATTTTTTTTATAAGTATAGATACAGATATAAATATATCTCATACCAAATAGGAATGATAATAAGACAAAAATTACATACTAAAAAAAACCGTGATAAATTTGAACAGAAGGGACAAGAACCCACCTACCCCCGCTGTCATGCCTAATACTGTGAGTCTCTTTTTTGGTGGGCTCAATGCATGTATTTTTAATTAGTATTGTTAGGCTGCAATTGCACTTGCACAAGAAAAAGAAAAAAAAAGGAATGATAGAAAATTTGCAAAGTAAACTCAAGATTCAGAAGCAGACCTGTTCCAAGACATAAGATGGGCGGTGTTGAGTGTCTGGAGCAAAAGCTGTTAAGAAAACACCAACAGCTATCTTTTGTGGGAACTTGTCCATTGCAAGTGCTATGTTCAATCCCCCAAGGCTGTGACCAACTAGAACTGCCTTCTCATTCGAGGGAAGTGTGGCCAATAGCTGCAACAAAGGCTCAGTGTAGGCTGAGAAAGTATCAACATCTTCTATTTTCTTCGTGTTGATTCCAGAAGCTGCTAGATCAAGCACTGTCACCTTGTGGCCTGCAGACTCAATGAGTGGCTTGAGCTTGTACCAACTCCAAGCTCCATGGCAAGCTCCATGCACAAGAACATAATGCTTCATATCTATACAATTTTCTGAACTCATGATGTTTTTCGCTGAAGATTCTAGTGATTACTCTGTATACCTTCTAACTATATACACCCTGAAATGGGTCGGGTTTGGCGTCAAGTCGAATTATTAGCTTTGAAAAGTCAAACTACATGTTTTGCTTTTTATTCTTACCTATGTTAGGCATGCTTGGATTACAATAACGGAAGGTCTATTTTTTTCCCCTTATTTTTAAATTAGTTATATTTTTTATTGGAGATAATTCACTTCTAATATAAGACTATTATAATTGTCAAAAGAAAAAATCTCAGTATAATTAGGGTACGTGTAAGCTTATTTCTTAGAATTTTGGACAAAGCATGATGTAGAAGCTTTCGAATGAAATTTATATAAATAAATACGTTAATTAAAAATTATTTGATGAAAGTTTTTCATGAAATTATCAAATAAATTGCTAAGCATAAAATGAAATAATTCAACTATACACACATGTATTTTAGTTTAAATCTGATCAAATTTAATTAAATGGAATGAAATTATGTGGTGCGAAATTTGTAGTGGGAATCGAAATGAATTGAATGACATTTTTGTCGGCCTCGATGAAGTCTGAATGACGATGTTTCAATTTCATTCTGATCACATGATGTATTTTACGTGCAAATTTTGGTTCCGATTTTTTTACGCAAGTAATTGGATTTTCACATTAAGTGCACGTAAAATATGCAGACTTGCACATATGTCATTGGCAGTGGCAGATCTCGACTAAAGGCGACCATAAATATTGATAAAGTAATTTAATTAAAATTTATATTTCTCATATAAAATTTCAAAATAATAATATATTAATACAAAATAATAATAAATATATAAAAGATTAAGTATATCCGCATTTAAAATATTCATTAATAATTAAATTAGAATTAAAAGTTTTAACTATTTCTTTTTCAATATGAATCAAAGTTAAAAGCCACGGTTGACTTTATTTTATAAAAACATAATTTAATGTTTTGTCCATTAGTTATAGTCTATAAGATCGATAGAATATAATATATATATATAAAAGAAATATATTTTAGTAATTATTCTTTTGATTTCTACTTTTTAATAAATATAAATTTAAAATATTAAAAAACATATATATATGTACTAGCAGGGTTATTCGGCTACCTGGCTGGCCACTCGGCCACCTGATAGCCGACACCCAATCGGCACCCGAGTGACTGAACCAGGTGGCCGATTAGCTACCAGATGATCCATAGATCCAAATTCCCACTGATAAAGAGTTAAGGACTCCCTCTAATCCAGGATTAAGAGTTAATCATACCAATAAGCCGATTAGAGGCGTATTACCTAATCTGGTAATCCTCTTGCAGGGCCCATGGGAATCCGGGCCCATAAATGTCAGTATAAATAGCTCATGTCACGAGGTAACGACACTGTTCATTAATTATCTTAGATATTCGAGCTTGTCCTGACTTGAGCATTGGAGTGCCTTTTGCAGGTACCAACCCCTTCACCAACGCATTGGATCAGAGCTCTACCAGAAGACTTAGTGTGCCCATCAGACAGGTACATTTGACGCCCACCGTGGGGCTGAACTGAGACGTTTGTGAAGATTAACTGAGCAGAACAATGGCGATAACAAGGAGAACGAACACGATAGATCATCAGCACGAGGAGGAACACATTGAGGTTGTAGACGAGATCGATCTTTCTGAAACCGTCCGTCTGTTGAAACAGGAGATGGTCGCAATGAAACAACAGTGGGAGAAAGACGCAAAGGAGCTTTCGGCCTTAAGAGCCGAGAACAAGGCACTGAAACATCAAGATCCGTCGTGGAAGCCTACTCAGGCAACCAACATGCAAACTCAAGGGTCCTATCAATCCCACGAAGTTCATACCTCGATCCCACATACCTCCGTAGCACCCGAAAAGTTGCCCTCAGCCCAACCAACCGTGGGTCGGGCAACAGACTTGGCAACCATTGGAACGCATCGTCACCCCTTCAACCCTACTATCATGCAAGTCCCGCTGATGGATAACTGGAAATCTTTGCCTATTGATAAATATGATGGTACCGCTGATCTTGATGAACATCTTGATGTTTTCTTGACACAGGTAACGTTAAGCACAACTGACGATGCTGCCTTGTGTCGAATTTTTCCCACATCTCTCAAAGGCAGGGCCCTGAGTTGGTTCACTCGGCTCCCTCCTAATTCAATTGACTCGTTCAACACTCTATCGTCCCAATTTACTATTCAGTTCGCTACGAGTCGTCCACACAGCCTGACGTCCTTGTCACTGGTTAGTCTTCGGCAAGACAACAAAGAGTTGCTTCGAACTTTCATGGATCGGTTTAACAAGACAACCTTGGAAATCCGAGACCTTAATCCGGCTGTAGCGCTCCACCATCTCACAACAGCTTTGAAACCTGGACCATTTGTTAATAGCATCTGCAAAAAAACCTCCTTCGAACATGAATGACCTACGAAGGCGAGCCGATAAATACATGTAGATGGAAGAATTGGCAGAATACCGCAATCAGGCTCGGGCCGAACAGGGGGGCAAACCCGAGAAGCAACCAAAACAGCCATACAGGGGCCGAGGCAAAGAGTTAACCTTGCGTGACCGACCTGCAGGAGGTCAAAAGTACTCCCATTATACTCCACTCAATGCAAGCCGAGCTGCTGTGCTAGAACAGGCCCTAGCATCAAAAGTGTTAGCAGTCCCAAAAAGAGCCTCAACCCCGCCCCGCGCCGATATCAACAAATCTTGCAAGTATCACTGCAATCGCGGACATTCAACCGAAGAGTGCGCCGCGTTGAAAGACAAAATTGAGGACTTGGTCAAACAAGGGCAACTCCGAAATTTCGTCGATCGGCCAAACTCGTCTCGACATCAGTCCACATACCACCCTCGGCAGCAAGAGAGGTCTGATCGCTCGGACAGGCATCGCCAGGAACGCAGCCGATCAAGAGATCGGAAGGAAGATACTCATGCAACGCATCGGCGGGTAATTAACACGTTTGCCGGAGGTTTCGCTGGAGGTGGGTCGACGTCGTCAGCTCAAAAATGACATTTGCGAGTTGTCCGATCCGTGAATGCTCTTGAACAACGGGTGACTCGGCGACTGCCCGCCATCACATTCACTGACACGGATTTTCAGGGCATTGATCCGGTTCAAGACGATCCTATGGTCATCAGCGTAGAAATACGCAATTGTATCGTGAAAAAGACATTAATTGATCAAGGCAGTTCGACCGATATTCTATACTGGAACACTTTTGTGCAGCTCGGTATCCCTGAAGAGGAACTAACCCCCTACAATGAGCCATTAGTCGGTTTTGTAGGGGAAAGGGTCGACACCAAGGGGTTCATTAAACTCTCTACTCGGTTTTGCTTTGACGAAAGGGAGCACCGAGATATCCAGGTGAAATATATTGTTGTCCAGGCCAACACATCTTATAACATACTGCTAGGTCGACCATCGTTGAATGCCTTGGGGGCAATTGTGTCAACCCCGCATCTGGCTATGAAATTCCCATCGGCCAAAGGAAATATTCTCACCAAACACGCCGATCAAAAAGCGGCTCGGGAGTGTTACTTTGCAAGCTTGCGCGTGCCGCCTGCTCAAGAGAAACCAGCAAACTCAAGGAGGGTTCACACGATCACTCCTTCTTCAGAATCGGCTTCATTATGTGATCTTGATCCACGAATGAATGATGAAAGGGCAGAGCCAGTGGAAGAGAAGATCCCAATACAAATCGGGAAACAAGCATCTCAAGTCACTTACATCGGCATCGGTTTGTCAGACACCGAAAGAATAGAGTTGAGTAAAGTAATTGCCTCGAACAAAGACTTGTTCGCCTGGACTCCGTCCGACATGCCGGGAATAGATCCAAGCTTTATGTGCCACAGACTATCGATCTGCTCGGCCGCTAAGCCAGTGGCACAACGAAAAAGGAAAATGGGAATGGAGAGAAAAATTGCCGTTGAGCTAGAAGTAGCCAAACTGTTGCAAGCCTACTTCATTAGGGAAGTTCAGTACACTACATGGCTGGCAAATGTAGTCATGGTTAAAAAGCCAAACGGCAAATGGCGGATGTGCACAGATTATACCAATCTCAACAAGGCGTGCCCGAAAGATGCATATCCACTACCTAACATTGACCGATTGGTTGATGGGGCGGCTGGACATCGTTTATTAACCTTCTTGGATGCTTATTCGGGCTACAATCAAATACGCATGCACCCACAGGATGAAGAGAAAACAGCTTTCATCACAGACTCAGCCAACTACTGCTACCGAGTAATGCCGTTCGGCCTAAAAAACGCAGGGGCAACATACCATCGGCTTATGGACAAAGTTTTCAAACACCAGATCGGTCGAAACTTGGAAGTTTATGTTGATGATATGGTTGTCAAGTCAGGTGACCTCGGCACCCATCAAAGTGATCTTGAAGAAGTTTTCAGGCAGCTCCGAAAACACGACATGAGACTGAACCCCGAAAAATGTGTCTTCGGCATAGCTGGGGGTAAGTTTCTTGGATTCATGCTATCCGCCAGAGGTATTGAGGCTAACCCGGATAAATGCCAATCGGTTATCGGCATGAGAAGCCCGCATAATATTAAAGAAGTTCAGGTGTTATCTAGACGACTAACTTCTCTTTCTCGGTTCCTCCCCTGCTTAGCCGAGACAGCCAAGCCCATTATTGGTTTGTTAAAAAAGGCCCGTAAGTTCACTTGGACAGCAGAGAGTGAAGAATCGTTCAAAATCCTCAAACATCGACTCGGCACACCCCCTGTACTATCAAAACCCGATCCAAGCCTCAACATGATAGTGTATTTGTGTGTTTCCAACGAGGCAATCAGTGCTGTCCTAGTACAAGAAAGAGAATCCCAAAAACCAATCTATTTTGTGAGTCGGATGCTACAAGATGCCGAAAGAAGGTACCAACTTCTCGAGAAGATGGCGCTTGGGGTGGTCCACACGGCACGGCGTCTTCAACAATACTTCCACAGCCATAAAATCGTCGTTCGGACTGATTGTCCAATTGCCAAAGTTTTACGAAAACCCGAGCTCGCGGGACGAA